CCCCGCTCTCTTCAGGCTCGTCTGATAAGAAACAAGTGTGTGTAAGAGGAGAAACAACGTGCTAGACCGCGGTCAATATGTTCTTGCGGGGGAGGTCTCATCCTCACCAGCGCAAGTGAGGATAGAGGAGGGAGTGTGCGGATTGGACGGACTGGACGGGGGAACAACGTCTCTATCTCGGGAGAGCACAGAGCACAACATTTTATGCGAGAGCGGAAATAATTTTTTTGCGGCAGAGAAGCGTGGGTTGCTCATCGGATCGACGGATGCTTTCGCGCGGGACTGCGGCAGAGCCATTTGCGGAGATAACGGCCTATATAGAAGTGGACAGCAGGCCAACAACAGTAGACGGTTTGGTTGTCTATTGCTCGGATAGCGTGCTGGTCATGTAGAATAGAGGACAGAAGCGGGCAGTGTTTTTTTGCAAAAAATGGGTGGGTGGAAGATGGGTGCGAGCAAGATGAAGAATGTGTCTGTTTACTGTTTACGTTCAATCAGGCAAAGAAAGAAAGGACAGCAATGTGTGTGTGTGTGTCCCCTCTCTCTCTCTCTCTCTTTCTTGCTCTCCCTCTCTCTCTCTCCTTCCCTCTGTGTGTGTGTGTGCGTGTGTGTGTGTGTGTGTGTGTGCTGCTGGACATCACCAATGTGATTGGTAATGGGCATGATGTCAATTGTGTAGTAGAAGATATGATCAGCATAGGAGATGGGAAACCCTTGTAACGCAAAGAAATTTCAATCACGTTTTCTTCTACCCGGCTTGCTCTTCGTTTCTGGAGGCAAGCTCTCTGCACGAAGTGTCTCTGGAAACCGTGCTTTCGTTTTTCTTTTCTTTTCTTTTCTTTTCTTTTCTTTTCTTTTCTTGTCTCTTCTTTTCTTTTCTCTTCTTTTTCTTTTAGTATGGGAGGTGGAATGTTGGAATGAACTGTGAGAGAGAAGGCATTGTCCACCCGTCATGTAAAAAAAAAAAGAAAAGGATTGCCCTGCCTGTCATGTCTTTGATCTGTGTTTTGCTGTTTTTCTTTTTTGTGACCCCCGCCCCCCACCCTTTTCCTTTTGATCTGTGTGTCTTTTTGGATGTTGCTATCAAATTGAATGCGAGCCACAACTTGGGAGCCTTGGTGTCGCCGCTTGCAAATGCTCGAGTGAAAGAATGAATGTGGCAGAGCTGATGGAATGTTATCACACATATAGGGCCTCGCTCCACTAGACAACAATCAATCTGTATTTGGCGCTGTTGATGGTCCCGATGCATTCAAATTTCAAAACGTTTGATCATGCCAAATGCATCCAGGCAACCAAAACAGTCTACATTCATATCGAGTCTCGGGTAGTGGAGCGAGGGCCGTAGCGGCATTCAAGTCAATTACAGAGGTATGTATGGAGTTGGTCTCTCTCTCTCTCTCTCTCTCTCTCTCTCTCTCTCTCTCTCTCTCTCTCTCTCTCTCTCTCTCTCTCTCTCTCTCTCTCTCTCTGTTTTGTCCCTCCTCCTATAAAAACAAGTGGATCTTCCGCAGCTACGCTGCGGTCACATCTTTGCAATGTACCCTACCAGACACCGTCCAACTTTGTGAAATGCCCCGGTTGTTGCCAACTTTTGGGGGGTGCAATTGCATAAAAAGCTTTCAGGGACATTTTGACATATATCCCAACTTATGGGGGGTATTTGGCCAATTACCATCCCCCCAAAAAAGGCCAACGGCATATTCTCGACATTTGGAGGAAGATATGGAAGTCCTCTCTCTCTCTCTCTCTCTCTCTCTCTCTCTCTCTCTCTCTCTCTCTCTCTCTCTCTCACTCTCCTGTCTCTTATACACATCTAGATGTGTATTCTCTCTCTCTCTCTCTCTCTCTCTCTCTCTCTCTCNCTCTCTCTCTCTCTCTCTCTCTCTCTCTCTCTCTCTCTCTCTCTCTCTCTCTCTCTCTCTCTCGTGTGTGCTCGCGCGCCCCCTTGTGCAACCTCCTCCCCCTAGCGCGACGTCCTCGTCCTCTCTCACGACCCCCTCCCGCTCGCACGAAATCCTCCCCCTAGCACGACCTATTCCTTCCCCTGCTGCATGACCTCCTGCAACCTCTCGTCCCCAGCGTGCGACCTGCTCCTACCCCTCCCATGACCCACTCCTCCCCCTTGCACGACGTCTTCCCCTCGTGCGACCATCTCACACCTCTCTTCCGACCTCATCCAGCTCCTCTTCCTCTTTACGCCGCCTCCTCCTCCCCCTCATGTGTCCTCGTCCGGCCTCCTGAAACCACTCGCGCGACCTCCTCCAAACTCCCCTCCGACCTCCGCTGCAACCTCTCGTCGTTCTCGTGCGACCTGCTCCTCCCCCTCTTCCGACCTCCTCCTCTCCCTTGTCCCCCTTGTGCACCCTCCACACACAGTTCGCCCATGCACATGCGTCTTTAGGTTCGCCCCACTTCCCCACCACGCACACTGCCCGCACGCGCAGGCGTCGTTGCCGGTCGATGTCGCACGGCGCCCCGCTGGCAATCGCGCAATAGCTCAAACACGGCACTCTCGATGCTCGCCCACGGCACTCCCACAGTCTGCACCCGGCTACTACCCCGCCGCCGCGCCAGACCCCACGCTTTGCACTGCGCATACAGCCACCGTAGATCGCCGCAAAATAGCGCTCGGATAACATTGTTTGTCCCGCCTGCGCCCTACACCACGGCCCAAAGAAAAAAACCCCACAGGGCCACACCGCACTCTTGCACTGGTCGACACGCACACAGGCCCACGCGCGGCCACCACAAAACGTCACCACCCCCAGTCGGCCCGCAGTCCCTCCGCGAAAAGCCGCCGCTGATTTCTTCCCTTGCCCCAGTCCCGCCCGCGGCCGCACCGAATTTTGCTGGGCCCAGCGGGAAGCGTCACGCTGGGCCCTTCACAATCTTTAAGAGTATAGAGAAGAGTCAACTCTGCCTGCTGCGGCGATGCCACGACCTAATAAAGGGGATGAGAGAACATGACAACAGATAGGGGCTGGGTGGCGGCATGCGAGGGGTTGTTGGGCGGCTCAGTTCACCTTGGAATTGAACTAAGTAAAAACAAATTTAGCTTAGAAAATGCAAGAATTGAACCAACTCCTACAACTCCAGCACATGGCAAGCATCTAAAGCAGTACCTATCAAAGTCACGACTTAAAACAAGTAGAATTCACACTCAACTACATGCAAGTCCATACCACAATGAGTAAGTACTCTCACCAATTCCCCAAGTTGTTTTAGTACTCTCACCAATTCCCCAAGTTGTTTTCACATAAGTAGTTCACTATCTCTAAGTTGAGTAAGAACCCAGTACCCCAGCTTACTTGGGGCATAAGAAAGACTAGACTATTCAATTTAGAAACAATGTCCAGTCTTTTGCCTTTGCTTATAAACGGAACTTGGTGCACAATAAAATTTCTCTCTTCATTGGGCATATGACTAAGCCATTGAACTTGGAAACCCTCCTTAGCTGCCCTAAATTGTTTAATATCCAAGTTATATATTTATATATGTTCACTTTATAATCAAAAGCAAGCGTAGGACTGAACCATTCAACTTAGAAACAAATGTTCAGCCTGCCTGAATCTTACCTCTAATGATATTCTTAATTAAGTACTCTGTTCTCTTAGTGATAGGCTATAGTCAGACCATTCAATTTAGAAACCTTGTTGACTAGCTTGTTCGTATATAATATACAATATAGGAAAAAACCATTATCAGATTTGTCTGTTTGTGTGCGCGGCCTCTCAGACTAAGTCGTTCAACTTAGAAACAATACTTAGTCTCAGCCTAGGCTACCAGTCGGGCTTCCCGGGTCCCGCGTGGCCAGCCCGTGCAAGGACCAGGGAAGGTCCCAAAAAAAAAAAAAAAAAAAAAGAACTTCGAAAAATCCAAAAGAAAAAATGTTATGCAGGAAAAGAAACTGAGCGACGTTTGCCTCAGGGTCACATCAAAATTCTTCACCCAATTTAGAATAAAAAATCAAATTTAAAAAATTAATTTTTAATTTTTATTATTTTTATTATTTTTGGCCGACCCGGGGCCACTCTGGTAGCCTAGGTTTCAGCCTTAATTCCCTCAGAAAGAAACACAGAAAGAGATGAGTCGTTAACTTGGAGACAGGTGCTCAACCCCTTCCTTCAGAAGAAAAGCAAGGATCTTTAGACTGTTTAGCTCAGAAACTAGTGTCCAGGGTCCGTTCAGAGACCTGAAAAAAAAGCAGGTTGACTATGCCATTCAACTTAGAGACAGATGCTTGGCCTATAACAAAACAAGCCATTCATTCCCTAAATCAAATCCAGTCATTGCCAGACCATTAAACAAATGTATAACCCCAAACAATACAAATAAACGAAGCGATCAGGCCATTCAACTTAGAAACAAATGCCTGACTCCTTAGTTGACCCAACAGCCTCAATCAAAACCACCTTCCTTATTATCCCTCTTTCACTATGACCTTCAGACAAAAATAAAGAATAAAGCCGAAGGTTTATGCACACGTTCCTTTATTTTAGTCCGAGTTAAGTTGAGAAAGTCAAACAGAAAAATAGTAGGGAAGCATGCACTCATAGCCAATCAACCATAGATAGATGTACAAATAAGGGTTTTTTGCAGGGGTTATAGCAGGGATCATTGAATTACCACTCAGTTCCCTGCCTCCAAAACTCCTCCCGAGTCCCGGGAGAGTTCTCGCAAAACTCCTCCCGAGTCCCGGGAGAGTTCTCGCAATCGGTGGGCAGACTCCACATAGAGTCTTGATGTGGTTATGCGCCTGAGGGCCCCGCAACGGTGGCCAAGATTGCCATAATATGGCCAGCTAAAGCCAAAACATTGGATGCCGACCCTCAAAATCACAACAATAACCCCCCTTTCCAAAAGCCTAGTACCACCTTCAAACGGTTGTGCCCAAGCCGCTGGCCAAATTGCCCTACACAGCCTTAAGACCCCTACTCAAATACAACACATTCCCGTGCTCTGTTTGAAGCACTAGCAAAGGCAGCTAGGCTTAGGGGAGTGTGTCGCACTCAACAACCATATGTAACAGTGAGGTAAACATAAAGCGGCATGCAACAATAAGCCAACCATACACGTTCAGTCTATAAACACAACATTCGCAGCCTTGGTATACCACAACAGCACGCTCACGCAAAGAAAAATGAAAGTAAAAGTCAACACCTCCTTTGCGGTCCTCGCAATTACAAGAGTTCAGCGAGCACAACAAATCTTCTCATATCAGCAATAGCATGGACATTCCGCAAGCAGGACAAGTGTTGCAATTTGATGATCGTGTGCAACTAAAGCAGCGTGCATAGCAAAACAGCGTTGCCCACCAGTGGTACAACAATCTAGCAGCGTTTGTATAACCACTTCCAGAGCACCCGCAACCTTCACCCAGCCTAATCGCCACCTGCCATACTCTCGATCTGACAATCACTGTTGCGATTAAGCCCGAGTACAGATTCAATGCAGGTCCATATTTCGATAGTCCAAGAATATACCAACTCTGCTAGCCTACCGCCCTCTACGGACAGCAGCACCTGGACATTAATCGAGCCCACTGTGGAAGTTGCTACTCAAAACTATGATTCGGGGAGCAGCACCGACGACTGTCATCATGGTAGCGACCGGATAGACACATGCAACACTCCTACTCTAGATCTACAGCAACCTTGTCTACGAAAGAGCATTCGACAAAAAACTAAGATGCATCAGCACGCTGTAGTCCATATAGTAATGTACTGAGCAACAAG